CTAAATCTTTTCAGATAGTTATCAGATAGTTATCAGATAGTCCAGATCTTTTAGTATAACTGAACAGTTCCTAACATTATTTCTCACTCCACAATAATTGCATCATCTGCTAACTTTACCAGCAATGGTTTTATATTTTCCTACAAATCACTGATAAAGATGTTGACTAACACTGTACCAAGAACAGATCCCTATAGAATCCTACTAGAAACAGCTCCTTTTAATGGCAATTTTTAAGTATAAGAATATTAAATTGTATTTTAAATATATTTAAAAATATTCATTTTAAACCAAGACATTACTTTGTTTTTTATGAATGCTAATAAAGGAAACAAAATCCTGATGACTATATCTTTTGAATGTACTTTATTTCCTTCATTTAAGGAACCAGCTAAGATTACCAAGAAATATTATGATTGTCTTTCGCATTCCTTGAAAAATCCATACACTTAGCAGCAAGGAAATACATAGCTAAGAATATTACAAATTGTACACTGTCTCTAACATACTAGCATATCATTCTGTATATGAAATTTCATAAGCCCATTTACTGTTTGAAATAAATATTCTTATATCAGTTAGGTTATAAAAAAGAAGGAAATCCCACATTTTTTCTGAAAACAAAACACTAAAATTTGTGGGTGTACATTATTAGGATATTGTTCTGCCTGAAATGCAAATCTACATATATACATAATATTTTTTATAAAATTAAGAGTATTTTATACATTTCATAAAGAACTATATGCAATATGTCTATGAAAAATACATTTTAAATACATTAGCTAACCTTCTCAATATCCACATCATATATACAAACAATATACACCAAGAAAATAGTAATTCCCATACATTTAATTAAAACAGAAAAAAACTAAAGATCTATCCATACATAACATACATATATTAACATGTATATAATGTATAAGTTGTGGGTGTAATATGAGTTCAGATTTTCCTCTTCTGATTAAATGTATGGTAATTTATATTTACTTGATATGGATAATATGTTTGAATTTATTGTTATGTGGGCAGCATTAAATCTAGAACATATTTAGCAATTAATTTATTTGAATTTAAGTGTCTCCATTTTGTTAGAGATGTGGCAGGTAAATACATTTTGCCACATGGTTTCATGACTTTTTATTAGGACAACTATTCTTTTTAGCTTTCTTTTTTCTATTTGATGTACCTGAGCTTTGAGTTTTTTTTCTTGGATGATACATCTTCTAGATTCTATTATGCTAACATTTACCAAAACATAAGAAAAAAAAGTGATAGACATAATGCAGGCATTGTACTAAATCACCTGTCCAGAATGCAAATATAAAAGTAGGGGGTATACGTTATTATATCCATTGTATATTTTCAATTACAAATGTTCTCTCTCCAATGAAAAACAGCAGTAATCATTCACCTTCTCCTACATGCCTTCAAGTCTGTACTAGACATTCTCTCTTTTTGCAATATTCCCCTTGTCCTCACCCTGTGATAGAAGGGACAAATAACAAACACTGCTTTTTATTCTAACTTTCACTTTGTATTTTGATCCCTATGTTGTATTAGGCATTTAGATTGATTTAGAAACCAGGCTACACTTGGAAAAATATTCACAGATTCATAGATTCATAGATTGTAGAGTTGGAAGGGACCACAATGGAACATCATGTCCGACCCCCTGTCTCTGGCAGGAAAAAGGATCTAGGTCAGATGACCCCAGCCAGGTGAGTATCTAGCCTCCTCTTGAAGACCTCCAGGCTAGGTGATAGCACCACCTCTCTTGGAAGCCCATTCCAGATCCTGGCCACCCTTACTGTGAAAAATTTCTTCCTAATATCTAACCTAAATCCACTCTCAACTAGTTTACAGCCATTATTCCTAGTCACTTCCTGGGGCGCCTTAGTAAACAATGCTTCCCCTATTCCCCGTTGACCTCCCCTAATAAATTTATAGGCAGACACAAGATCTCCCCTCAGCTGTCTCTTGTGAAGGCTGGACCACATCCCTCTTGAAGTGCGGCACCCAAAACTGGACACAGTACTCCAACTGCGGCCTGACCAGTGCCGCATAGAGGGGGAGCATCACCTCCTTTGTTCTATTAGTCATGCACCTGCTAATGCACAACAAGGTGTGATTGGCCTTGTTGATGGCCTTATTACACTGCTGGCTCATGTTCATCTTGAAGTCAATTATGACTCCAAGATCCCTCTCTGCCTCTGAGCTGCTGAGAAGGACACTCCCTAACCTATAGGTGTGCTGGGGTTCCTCCTTCCCAGGTGGAGTACCTTACATTTATCTTTATTAAATTGCATCCTATTTCTCTCTGCCCATTGATCCAACTTGTCCCGGTCAGCCTGAATCTGCTCCCTGTCCTCCGGTATACTAACTTTGCCCCATAACTTGATATCATCAGCGAACTTGGAGAGGGTGCTCTCCATGCCCTCGTCCAAATTGCTGATGAAGATATTGAATAATATTGATCCGAGGACCGAACCCTGCGGGACCCCGCTGCCCCTCTCCCTCCAGGCCGAGAAGGAACTATCCACCACCACTCTCTGGGTGCAGTCCCTAAGCCAGTTGGCCACCCACCTGACCGTGTAAGCATCCACTCCACAGTCTGCTAGCTTCCAAATGAGGATAGGGTGCAAAACTGTATCCTTCCCACTATCTTGTTATTCATGTGTCTAAAGAATGTGAGTCAAAAGGACTATGCCACAGTTTCTGAGCCACCAGATTGTGTTGTCTCTCAAAGTCCAAAAAGACATCAATCTAGGTGTCTACCTGCATGAGTGCACATGAGAGAGCCAGAGCCACCCCCCACAACAGTTTTTTCAGTTTAGATGCTACGCTCTTCAGAAAAGGGACTATTCAGTACTTTGTTTTTACATCACACAGCAAAAATGGGGCCTCTATGACAGCCCAACCATAGGCACAAGTAAAATACAAATATTAATAATATCAATAATACAAATCATCATCAATTATAAAAATAATTAAAACATTTCATTTCTTTGTAAGTAGAAACAATGCAAATTAGATTCCTGTTCCCCCTGTGTTCTTTGCTGTGTTAATACTAGCAAGGCATTTTTTTTTTAGTAATTCTTGAATTCCATTTTAATTGTGATTTTGTCTTTCTCAGCTTTCTTGTGTAGGGGCAAAAGTATACTTACATCTCGATACATTTAATATGCTACATTTCTTAGTACAGTGTTGCCATTTGTGTTAGCTAGTCTCAAAATGTACTTGGCTGAGTTCGCAGAATATTGAGTTTAACAGATATAATAAAGTACAAATATATGATTCCCTTCACAAACAACACAAACATGCATGTAATTCTCTCTTTTTCAGTATCTCCCTGCTTTTCTCTCATAGGCTACAGTCTACTTGCAATTCAGCAATTATTACACTACCCTATTCAGTAAACTGAAAGCATTATTCAGTGTGTTTAGTTCACAATTTAGAAACATTGGAATTGTCATGCTGCATCAGACAACTGGTCCACGAATTGGTCCAGCTTTCTCTCTCTTACAGTGACTAACACCACCTGCAACCAGGGGAAGACTCAAGACAGCTTGCAGTAGGAAGTTATATTTTGAGGCTGTGCCCCAGCACAAGGCCATAGGAGTCCCTGACTGGATGCATGGAAACCAGACTCTGTTGTGCTCTGCTGAGCACAGCAGTTGTCCTGGACTCAGTCTCAAGTCTGTGTGTACATTGTGGGGTGCTTCATGATGGGGTATTGGGGTATGGCCCAGGGACTTGGGAGCCCAGGTCTCATGGCTTGTGCAGTGGACACAGACACTGCCTTTCTCCTCCCTCCCCCTCCCCCATTGTCTGCCTGTGCCTGGAAGATGACTGGAGACAGAGGGTGAGGTTGGGAAAAGGGACTCTGCTGGCTAAGATCTAGGAGAACTTGGGGACAGGGCACACTGGGTGCTTGGCTGGAGCAGCCAAGCAGGGGTCAGGTGCTAGCAGTGGGGAGGAAGTGTTAGTGGGGAGCCACAAAGGAGACTGGGATGCTGAAGGACAGTGACCTAACTGGAATTGGTAGGGCATATGGTACAGAAGTTTGATTCATTGGTCTAATCTAAATTGATTAGATTTGAGTTCACATTGAGACAGATTATCTTAGACCAGGTTCCACCATTTTTAGACCAGTCTATGTGTGCTGAACTTCTATATGGTTACAGGTTCAGATTGACTTCTGATCACTAAGACTGGTATAAGTGTACTGTCTGTACCTAGCCTTTCCTCACTTGACTGGATCCTTCTAGTTTCTTGGTCCTCTCCAGCTTGACTAACCTAAAAAAAAGTCATCTACAAAGTTTATCACCTCCCAGCTTAGCTACCTTTCCAAACATGTTAAATACAGATCCTTCTATGGAAACATGCATCCTTCACTATTTTGCTATGATAAAAAACGGCCATTTATTTCTGTTCTTTTTGTTCTGCCTCCTTAACAAGTTTCTTATTCACACAATACTTTCATTCTCAGACCATGACAACTTGGTTTCTTTAGTAGCATCTTGTGAGGGACTTTGTCAAAGGCCTTTTGAAAGTCAAAATAAAAGTCAGATGTTCTTCCTTCTGTACTTTCATCTTTTAGATGAAAGTTAAGATGAAAGTTGTACTGAGAAACGATTATTGCATTGCAGTGCATATTTCACAAGGGAATCCAAAGAAACAGAAGCTCAGATTCAAAGGGGAGCACAAAATTCATTGAACAACCTAGCAACTGTTGCTGAGGGTCCATTACAGATGTGCCTTTCATTAGTAAAACGTCCACTTACTTCAGTAGCAGCAATATATGACCCTAAATGAGCATACTACAGTTGCTGCTAAAAAAGATTACACAGCTAACATTAATACTTTGACTGTGACCTCTGCCGCCACCACCGTCTTTATGCACAGCAGCTGATAAAGGTCATTCTTTGGGAAAAGGTACAGTGTATGGATACAAATAAAGAGCAGCACAAGTTCTAACACCATCGTAATGTTACCTTCACATCTGGGGAAATGATAGTTCCAGTTCCTGTTGATTCCATGTTGGCAAGTGAGAACAGGCTGACCTATCAGAACATACCCAGGATAGCACTCAAATGATACTGACTGACCAACGCTGTAGTCCAAATTGACAATATATCCATTTAAAAAAGGAGGAGGATCTGGGCAGTTCTGTAACTCATAAGCTGGAAGAAAAGAGAAATAGATTTTAACTGTTTAGTCATCTCTCAAAATAAGAGTTAATTAAGAAAAATATCTCAAAATTTGCTGGGATAGATTAAAACTGAATAGTTGGGATCTCTACTAATAACTGGACAAATGACACCATGTCAGTGAGAAAGGAAGAGTCTATTTAGATTATCTCATTGGAAACAACTGAGTTAGCTGTAGTGGGAACATGGTGCAGGAAGATCAAATCTGTACAAGGGAGAGGGACTGAAAGCAATAGTCCATTTGAGAAGCTGGAGAGAAAGCTCAAGGGTACAATTTACCCTTAATTAACCTACTTATCACCAATGAAAATCAGGCTAAAAAGTGGCATTCTATTAATCTGTAATATTTGCATCCACATTTGAAGCTTTTTTCCCCTCTCAGTTTTGAAAAGACAGCACCTTAGAGCTGTCTCATGTACAATCCCATCAAATCCAGAGTGGGTGCAGTTATGCAGTTACACCTCTATCTTGGACTGGACCATGCCACAAGAGCATCTGATGACTTTTTAAAAGCCTCCACATTAGGTGAGAATCTTTGCTCCCTTCCCCTCATGGCTCAGAGGCATGTTCCCTCTCCTTCTCTTCCCTCACCTCCCCTGCCTGTCACTACAGCTTCCACCGCTATCCTAGGGGTGGTGAAAACTTCAGAGCTGCTCCTACTCACTCCAGCTAGGCTGCTTGGATCTAAGCTTAGTTGGATCTAAGCTTTGATAGTTGCTGCAGCAGCAAAGGGTAGGGGTGTTCCCCTTCCTTGCACTTAATCCCCATCATCCATTGCTGCTGTCACTGCTGCTGTCCCTGTCCCAGCTGTGCCCAGCCCCTGCACTGTCCAGCTATGCTATCTGTTAAAGCAGTTGTTCAAATTTCTCATGCAATCCACAAATATTCAATGAGAAAAATATTCACAAAACTTGAATTTGGGTGGTCTACTATAGATAAATTCATTTGCAGCAAGAATTCTTGGTTTTGAAGTGCTTTTTAAAATGAGAGTATGTTAACACACCTAGTGTTAGCTTTTCCATCATATAATTTTCAGACAAATTAATGCTTCTTCTAAGCAAATTTCTATAATACTCTTTGTGCAACCTAGTAAGGGATATTGCAACTGCAGTGCCATTATCAGTAAAGGTCGGGTTATGTGGCACACCAAGTATTGAATATACATGTGAAACTATAGCCACTATATAGAGATGCTCAGTATTAAACTAATAACATTCTAGAAAGGTATAGAAAGCTTTGAAACGTTATTAATTTTGAAGGACATATAACAGGTTAGTTTAAATTTGTTTGACTAGCACATTTTTAATGTGTTGATTACCTCCACCAATTATGCTGTATAATGACTGCATCTATTAGGGTACCAAACTATAGTAATCAGAACAACAGTTTACACTTGCATATTTATTAACTGCACCATAGACATTAGGGTTGATCATTCATGAACAAGTTGTAAAAGTCCTACCTTTTGCAAATGATAATATTTTTTCTTAACTTATTAAACTAGCCAAAAATCATTTTTCAGATTATCAAGAAAAAGCAAAAAGGATTAACAAAGAAATGTTATATTATAGAAGACATAACCAAACATTCTTTATAGAAGAAAGCATAATAAGTGAAACAACTCCAATAAAATGAAGCTCTTTGTAGTGCTAAAATAACACTAACAATAACAGATAATTAATATTTGGGTTCATATTTTCAAGAGCTGTAAAGATATTTGACAGGTAAATGTAATTAATAACACAAACTAATCAGTATAATTAAGATACTACTAATCAGACACAAATACTGGTTTCAAATAATAAATTTAAATATTATAGATATTATTAATTTAAAGTCTTTGTACATTAAAGATAAATAATTCCATAGAGGACAACAAAGATCATACTTTTGCTAAAAGGCCCGTAAAAAATATTACGTAGGAAATACAGATAAATAATACATACCTGTTTGTGAGTGCATCTACACGAAACACTTAATGCACATTGGATTAATTCTATTGCACATTAGCACGGTGGGCAAAATCCATGCTAATGAACAGTAGATTTAATCTAATGTGCATTAAGCATCACACAAAAAGCATTCATCTGTGCTACTGCGCAGCAGTGCCGATTATAGCGCATTATGTTAGCACCTGTTCTTACAGGTACTAAATTTAATGTGACATAATTCCAGTTAATGAACATGTAGATGTGCTCCATGTGTCATAATTACAGAGAAGAGGGATGTTCTGCTCTTTCACAGAATGCCCAGTGAAAATTAGAAAATACTGAGCACGCCTATACATGCCCATACTGAGCTGTTGTTTTGGAAGTAGTAAATGATGGCACAGTAACAGCCTATACTGCACCATGCATGGTTATTTTTAGCCACTATGTCACTGTAGCAACATGATATAACAAGGGAGCATGTTGCTATGATGATGTAGCATCACATGTTGATGCACCCACAGTTGTCAAAACACAAGAACTTGAAACAAAAGTGATTATCCAACAATTGCAGAATCTAATGCTCACAAAAAGGTGAAAATACAATAGTAAAGATGAAAAAGATATTCTTGAACAATTTTTTTTTCAAGGCTAATGATCTTCTTATAGGCTTTGTAATATATAAATCTTCCTTTCTGCATTCAATATTGATATGAATTAAACAACACAAGCAAATTATTTCATGGGAGTCACAAACACTAATGGCATATTTATGCATATGCTCATAACTAAACCTGTGCCCAAGTACTTTGCTGAATCAGGGTTTTTTTGTCAATATTGACTTCCCAGTCATTGCTGATTATAGTTAGGGTATATATATGTAAGAGAGGATAAAGCCTTTTGTTCTTCCCTGAGTCTCTCAATGTGTGCATACTACAGTTTTGTAAAATAACAAAGTAGGAAGTGATTCTAGGATCACTGTAGAGTGTGATATTATTTAACAAATGGTACAGGAGGAGGAGAACAAGAAGAAATGAATAAGGATAAAATAGAGAGGTGTGCCTTTTATACCACCCACTAACCTACATCTCACAACACCTACAAATAAAGTGTCTGGCCCTTGCTGTATGTTTCATATAATAAGGATCAGAAGCCTAGAAACTTATACTGTCACTGGGAGAGTCTGAATCTTCCAAAATGCTATTCAATCGGCCCATGCAAATAGATAAGCATGCAATTCAGATTCAGCAGATTCTGGCTGCCCTGCCTGGCCCAATCCCCCACCCAGCCAGCCCCAGCCCAGTCCTGGAAATAATAATAATAAAAAAAGCCCCACACTCACCAGCTGCAGCAGTGGCATTTGGGGTGTCTGGGCACTCATGGCAGACCTCCCTGTGCAGTGCGGGGCAGTGGGGGGAAGCAGAGATCACCCCCCCAGCCTGGCACCCACAAGGCAGCTGTCCCATGGTGTAGGTGCAGTGCAGCTTGGCAGGGTGCTGCATGGTGCCTGGGAGCTTGGGCCACTGGGGCTGAGCACTGCCAGACTCTGACTGACACATGGAGCCACACAAGCCCCACACTCACCAGCTGCAGCAGCAGTGATTGGGGCTTGTGGGCATTCATGGCAGAGCCCTCCCCATGCAGCGCAGGGCAGTGTAAGGCAGCGGGGATCACCCCCTCTGCTTGGAACCCACACAGCAGCTGTCACATTGCATGAGTGCATCACATCTCAGCAGGGCACTGAACACTGTCCAGGAGCTTGGACTGATGGGGCTGAGGAGCGCTGGGCTTTGACTGACATGTGGAGCTGCCCCAGCTCCCAGACAGTGTACGGCCCCCTGCCGAGCTGTGCTGCACCCACGCCATGGGGCAGCTGCCGTGCAGGTGCCAAGTGAGAGGGGCAATCCCTGCTGCCCCATACTACCCTGTGCTGCATGGGCAGGTTCTGCCATGAGTCCTCAGAGACCCTGATCCCTGCTGCCAGACCAACATACAAGTCTGCACAAAACCAGAAATCACCCTAAACACACCAAGAAAACTGATATACAGCCAAGCCCTCAGATACCACCAAATTTGAACTGAGGAGAACACCTGGGATTGCCACCTCACCAATCTTAAAAATGCTTTCACCCAACAAGGACACTCCTCCAGAGAGATAGATCGCATGTTTGAAAGAGCCACCTGGATACCATGAGAAGAATTGCTGCAGTACAGAAGAAAATCCCCCACAAATTGCACATCGCTGGTTATGACATATCACCCTTCCATCGAAATTCTACAGAAAATCCTCAAACAATTGCAACCAATACTAGAAAGAGATCCTGTTCTTAAAGAGATTTTCCCAGAACCACCCAACCTAGCTTTCAAACAAGCACCAAACCTTGCTAACCTCATCACCAGAAGCAAACTTCCTCAGGCCCAGAACACACCTAATGGATCCAGACCGTGCCATGACAAGAAATGCAAAACCTGCCAACACATCTCCATCACCCCCACAATTACTACACCCCATAACAGAGCCATCAACATCCTTGCATCTTACAGCTGCACCTCCAAAATATATATCTCATCCAATGCACCAAATACCCTGATGGAAAATACGTAGGAGATACCAAACAACTGCATAACAATATGAATGCACACTGGAAATCTATCAAAGACAAGAACACCCAATTACCTGTGGTGGCACATTTCTCACAAGAAAACCACTCTCTCTCCAATCTTTCAGTTCTAATCCTCAAAGGGAATTTACAAAACACTTCTCAAAGACGAGCCAATGAACTTCACTTCATCAGTCCCCTGGATACAAAAAATCATGGACTATATATAGACATTGAATTTATGACACATTATAACCTGTCTGACATCTGAATCCCCAGATACCTAGCCACTATTTAACTGCTACATTCATCCCCCTTCTCTCTCCCCAAAATCACCCAACCTATCTCTCACCCACTGACTCCTCAATTTACATCTTCATTGAGTGCCTGCCTTGCATGCATACTAGCCCAGCCTCTGACTTTTTACTAGTCATTCCATCCAGGA